TGACAGCAAAGAATTATTACCTTTTTTTGAGCTGGCATTGAAAGGAAGAAAAGTTTTGCATTTCAAAATAAAGGACAAACAAATAAAATACCTTCAGCCTAACTACATCAAGTTTAGTGTACTTTCATAAAGAATGTTAGTTGTTCAAATTCTGTACCTAACATTCTTATATTTTAAATACATGTTCTATGAAAAATAAGCTCTTATAAAGTGGTAGTATCTATTGCTTGTAGAACAATACTTTTCTGTTCTGGAAACTTTCAGAAAGTGAGAAGAGGTAAACTCAGAAACATGTTTGTTTAAACAGCTTTTCAACATGAGTTATGATAAATGTGGTAAAAATGGCAGTTATTTTTGTTTTCCAGAAGCAGCAATGTATTTTTCAGTGAAAGCATTATTTTAGTCTTCCAGGAACAGCATTAGATATCAGTAAACTAAGACTTAGTTAAACCTATAAAGGTTTTCTCTGATGTATGTTTTTGTTATCTCAATGAAAGTGGGTCAGATATGCAAAATTCTAAATAATGTTTCCAATGAGATACCTATCAATTGTTTTCTGTAAGTTGGAGTCTTTTTACTTAAACAGAGCCAGCTCAAGGGTACTTCTGCTAGACTACTACAGCTAGGCTGGCTTAGAAAAGAAGGTGGCGTGAGGGAACTCAAAGGTGACTGAAGGCTGCTTAAGTTGCCATTACCCCCCAGAAATGTGTAACTTTGCCTCTAGAAGGAACAAGAACAAAACCAGAAAACTGACTTCCACCCAGACTCTCACTTCTCTCTTCTTTCCTCTTCCTCAAAAGCTCTGTATGCATGTACTTTAAATGGTGTTGAGGGAAGTCAATGGAGAATTCTGAGAGAAAAAGCAGCAACAGTAACTCCATTGTCTGCATCATTACAGTCCAATTTGACAGAACAGGCTTCAATTAATAATTTATATGGATTCCAGAACTGTGAAGTTTTCCAGTTATATTACCCTGAATGGTTGCTAATGGATTTATGATTTTTCAAATCCATTACCTTTAATACTATAGCAAGTTTAATTATCTTCAAAACACTTAACAAAATCATGGATAAATCTGTTAGAACTTATACTCAACTCTGAGGCATTTTAATCTTATGCCAGAATTCTGAAACATGATGCAGCTGCAATCAACCACTAAAGCCCTGTTTACATTCCAGAACCTTCAACTGATGCAATTAACCCAATCCAAATGCTTAATGTAATAAATAACAGAGGTTAGCCCTGGTTGTGTAAATCCTGATGAACTCCTACTACACTAGGATTTTATGCAAGTACACAAAGACACTGTTACTTGTTTCTTCCTTGTAGGACTTGGGAAGATAAAGAAGCACTTCCCAGCAATTTACAATACAAGACACATAAACTGTTCATAAGCTGGAGTCTGGCTGTAGGGGGGATTTGTTGCCCCAAGGCACTCCTGAAGACACCCTGTTGATTACAAGTAACAAGGACTCTGCACTGCAGATGAAAGCCTCGGGCTGCACTACTGTTCCCTGGAAGATTCTCAAATTACATTTCACATTGGAGTGAGAATCTCATCTCTATGTGATTACATACTTGGTATCACTGCAAAGAAAATTGATACACAATGTACTCTCATGAAACTGCTACAAAATAGATAAGGTATTCTGGAAATTCCATTTCACTAGTCATTTTGCGTGTTCATAATATCCAAACCTTTACCACTGAGAGAAGCCCCTAAAAGCCCAAAGTCTTCAACACAAACCTGCAGCAATGCAAAAGCTGTAAGAGTCAGAATTCTCACCATTAAGCAGTAGTGTCACAGTATATGATTTTATGACAAGCTACCATCTAAGGACTAGCTGTCACTGATGAGGGCAACTCTGCTGCTAGAAATGACATCTGTCTATCTCCCTAGTAATCTGGTTCAGGGAGACAAGCAGTAGAAAACTATTTCTATATCCAAGTCCTGAACTGGCTCAGAGGAACACTGGCTAAGAGCCAGCATAGATGTAAAGGCAATAAAAGGGATGTATGGAAGAAAAGAGTTAAAGAGTTCCTTCTGACCAGTCACTAAACAGACAACAGTTACAGTACCAGCTGAAATACATGAAACCTAAATGGTCCATCCACCACCACAGCTAACTACTGTCAGCAGGTAGGTATGATAAACCAGCAGAAAACTAACATGAGAATATAAATAATAATAATAAAATTATTCCAGGTTAATAGAATGAAAAGCCCAGTGGAGAGTTCACTGCTCTCCAAAGAGAACAAGCGCAAGCAAAGAGAGAATTGAACCATACAATTAAGTTTGTTATGCTGCTCTGGAACCACAACCTGGAAATACTCAGAAAATTCTCCAGAAAGCCTTGCAAGCCCCATCTTGAAATGTTTAATAAACAAGGTTAAAAAGTAGGCCATAGGGCTGGAATAGAAATGTAACAGGATGTTTAATGTATCATATGCAAAGGACAAAATATCATCTAATTTATGACCTTTCTCCTTTGCTAAACAGCAGTCCTCTGTTGATTTCATTTTATGTTTTGCACTCTTTGTAGTCTCTTTAAGCTGTCATTTCCCAGTTCCAGCTCTTAGATGCTTTATGCCTTTTCTTGTTCTGATGAAGAGGGAAGTATATTTTTAAATCTTGTCTTTAATAAAGCTGCACATGCACAGATAAGTAGATCTGAACTGCTACAGTAATGCTACTCCGCTTCTACACTTCATCATAAGTTGATCCCCACAACTTGCAGGCAACCACTTGTGTGTAGTAGTAGGGTTAATCAGTTCATGATTCAGGCAAAAATTAATACTGCAAAAGTGATCAATTTTCTGCCAGATCAGCTGCTTGATCTATCTTACTATACAACAGCATAAGCATCAGTGCCAGCCTGAGGAGAAGGGTAGAAAAATGAAGCTGAAGATGAGTACGTAGGCCTGCACAACTCTGACCACAGCTATTGACTCACTCTTACATATCACATCATAAAGCATAAGCAAGAAGCCTCGAGCTCAGTTTTAAGCTCTACAGCCTAACCCTATCTAAACACTTGAAAACAAAGCTCTACACTTCCTGCGCCCAACTGGCATATTCCTGCCCTTTCTCTTAAATCAGTTCTGGCAGGCTACCAAGTCATTTCAGAACACTAAGCTAGTAGAAAACTATTCATGTTTTATGGTTCAGTTAGTTTCCTGCTGGCTTAGGTATGGAAGGAAGTGGATAAAACTGCTGCACCGAGCAGCTGGACCAGCTTAGGCTTCTTTGAAACCACCACCTTACTTTAACCAATTCAAAGGCTATGTTAACATCCTTGTTACAGATTAAACAATGCATGTTTCAGCTTAGCTTAAACTCAGCTGGAATTGATTTACTGCAATTAAAATTAAACTGCTTATACCAAAACAAGAGTATTCATGAAGAGCTCTGCACCAGGCCTTTTTATATTTTTTTTTTTTTTTTTTACAGCAATTTACCTTCCTACAACTTTCTCTAGCCCTGGCCTCACATGAGCTGTACTAACTGCAGCAGAGCAAGTCAGGTTACAAACTTGTAGCGTATCAGCTTCTCTAGCCAGAGCGTGAAGTTATACAATACCACTGATTGATCTCCTGCACAGGCTTCTCAGACCATCAAAAAACCCAAACAAACCAAGAACAGCTGCATGCTTCCCTTAAGGGTCTGTCTATACAAGATTTACTTCCTCATCCACACCCTTTCTAAAACACATTAAGCAAGATTAATGTTATAAGTGGAACATGGTTACCAATATCCCACCAGTTTAGAAACTACTGCCTTAACACAGAGTGTAATAGTTTTAAGATTCTGGTTGGTGACTTCTCTGCTGCTGAAGTACTGCACTGAGCTGAGAAACCTGCCTCAATCTGAGTAACAGGAGTCCAGGAAGACTCATTTTGGCAAGCCTCTAACATGGCCAGCTCTTGGCAGATGACATTTTTGATCCTTTGACTTTCTATGCGAAACTACATATTCAACTATTATGAAGTTCTACCACTAATTCATAGATCAGGTTGGAAAAACAACACAGCAGAATGGCTTACAGTCAGAACAGCTACCCAAGCTACCTCATTAAAAAACAAAGGAATGCAGATGATGTGTGCCATGCTTTCAAGACAATTACATCTGCACATTCAGAGTCAACCAGACTTCTAATCCCTGTAGTAGAAATGCGAAAAGTAAGTAGTTATGTGCCAGAATTTAAAAAGGATGGCAGTAACCATTGCTGCCATTATACAGAAAGGGCTTTCAAGTAAACTGAACTGCAAAGTCAACTGCAAGTACAAAAGGAGATGGACAAGCAGCTGGCAATCAGTTACAATGAACTGAGGTAAACAATCACGGGCAAGTATTCTGATTGAAGGGCATTTCTGTGCCCCCACTCCAAACAACAGTGGGAATATTTACACTGATATGGATGGTTACATGTTTGGCTTGCTTTATATCAATTTGCCTGTAGTAACTCATTCACAGGGAAAACTCCAGAAATCAACAGAAATTATCAGCCACCTGCAATTCCCCCACCAATTTTAATTCATATCAGGAATGGATATGTAAATGTCCATGAAATACACACTGCTCAGGGGACTGGTTTTAGCAGGAACAGAGATGTTACTGTCCTTCTTTATTCTTAAGAAAATTAGGATTCATTACTGTAGGAAATATTACCTTAATATTATTACTATTACCACTACTATTTTCTCCTACACTGCAAAGGAAGTGGCAAGGAAGCCATGATAAGTGAGATGATAGAAGATGCTGATGCTTTTTCATAATTTAACCTGTTATTCATAAACCAGAACTAACAATGGAGTGTGCATGGGCAGGAGTTTTGAAATACAATGAAAACCAAGCAATACATACAATACTAGTTATAAAAAATAGAATGAGTCATGAGTTTTCACTCAAGAGCAGCTTCATGGTAGATTGGTTTCACTATCCTGGTTTACAAGTATTTGTATGTTGTGGAACACAGATGAAATATTCCTTCTTACTCACCTTTGGATCGAGTGGAGATATCCATCCCCTCCACCACCTCCTGCTCTGCCTTTATTTCCTCTTCAGCCAAGCTGCAGGATTCAAAAAGGTGAGTTAGAATAGTTACAGATCGCACTACTCCCATGTCTAACTTCAGGTACAGACACTGTCAAATACAGCTGTATCACAAATCTCTAAAGAAATGAAAGTTCTGCTGTTTGCAAGAGTATACACTGACCAAAACATGTAGAGAAACAATCCAGGTGCACATGTATTCTGCATGATACCAATTACAAAAGTAACATTTTCATAGTAGTGACAGTCTTGTAAGAGGTACTGAAGATTACGCCACTGTATGTATAAACTATACGTGACAAATACGAATTCTGTTCCTTGTAGCCCCTAATCTAAGGCCTCTATAAACTCTGTCAACAGATGCCTGCTAACATCTAAACCCTCATCAGCATCAGTGAACAGATTAGCTGAACTAACAGATTTAGTGTCACAAAACAACCTGCAAAACTAAAGGTGAAATGCAATTTTAAAAGCTATTAAACAATTTCAAGGAACCCAAACCACTCTATGATTCTGTGATTTTGAAACTAGACTATGTAACAGAAAACTGAGTATCTGTAATTTATTGGCAATACAATTCTACCAGTTATTAACTATAATAAAGAGTAAACACAACAGAGTTATTACTATTATTCAACCATTCAATCTTACATAAACAGTTGTAATTTACTCCAGGCAGGATTAAATGATTTCGCAGATGATGAACTGTATCTGACTTCCTGATCTACTTTCTTACAGTGATGCCATTCAAGAAAATAACTCAATGAATTTGCCTAGTTAAGTGAGTTTAGGGAAGGAAGGTGGAAGGGAGAGGAAAAAAGAACTAGATTGAATATTGAGTTACACACCAGTTTTCGAGATCTGACTATTGTAGATGAAAGATAAAAGAAAACATTTGATGTTGAAGCAAGCCCAAATTCAAAATGACAGACAAATGAGGCTATGGTGCCTGAAGCAGGTATGACCATTCTCCATTAACACCACCAGACACAACAGCCACATGGGATGTAGATCTTTTCCTCTGTAATAACAATTTACTGTCTAATCTGTTAATGTAAGTTGCTGCTAATACCAAGTTACATTGATATGGCAGACTGTGAATTACCACTGCTATGGAGTGGGTTGAGATTCTGTTCAGCCATCGCAGCCCTGGGGACAGCTATTTGTACCACAGAGGCCAAAAGGCCAGCCAGAGACCTTTGCTTTAGGCACTGTGGTTAAATCTGCCCGAGACAGCTAAACAGAGCTCAGAAACAACACTGAGGACTTGGTTATGCTTATATCAGAGAAACCCTTCAGCCTGACAAGCAGTTTATATTAGGAGTTCTGTTATTGGTATAAGTGAAAACAGCTTCCTGAATAAAGTAAAACCTACCAGCAGAAGGACTTTTTAATCTGGTATTTGCCAAAACTACTTTTAATCACCCATTAGCTTTTAGGGGGTTGGGTTGCAATTATTTTCACACTTCTAAACAGGACAGTTATGTCAGCAAAAATTTTAAATACAAATTAA